CATAGGAAGCAGAGCAAGGGTTTGGGCCCAATCTCACCAATTTCTAAGTTAACTAGTAAGCCCTACTCAATGTAGAAAATGGGGGTTTTTCCTTCAAGATCCTTTGTTAAACCTAACTTGTAATTTTGGGGACTTTTCTCTTTCCTTAAAGGGAAATGACTCTGAGTCTAATGATATTAGTCTGCAGGCCTGCTGGTTTAGCAGACACGTTCGATTCAGATGCATGGTGAAGAGGTTAAGGTTGCACCTCCAGCGGGGAAGAAATCCTCAGCTTTGGGGAGACAGGTGGTGAAAGAAAGCAGGCCGGAAACCAAATTGCATGATCACAGCACGGCCCTTCCCCATCCTTGTAAATCCTCAGGACCCTGATGAGAATACAGCCATCCTGGGAGGACAATTAGTGACAGAAAGCAGGTCAGAGACCAAACGGCATGGTCACAGCAACCCCCTCCCCACTGTCCTGAAATGCTCCAAGGCTGGTGTTCCTGGGCAGCATCAGGATCTCCTACCCTGGTCCTGGCTGGCCCTCGGGAGAAGGCCTTTGTGCAAGATTAACACCTGTTGTGGAAGGCAGTGATTCTGAAATCAGTCTCGGACACGGCATCATTCACTCTGCAGGAAAGACGACTCCCTCACCTCTCAGGACCTCTCCCCCGAATTTCAACTACACTAATTAAAGACCCTTGGAACTGTGTGAGGGGAGATGACTCCTGGTCAGACGCCATTCTGCTTCTTTAACATAAAGCCATCCTTGACCCCTGGACTGGCCTCCTCTCCTTCTCACAGACCCTGGCCGGACTCTATCCCGTCTGACCTAGGGTGATAGCAGCAACCCTGCTTCTGTACTGCTTTACCATAAATGGAATCTATGAATAGGATGGGAGCCCTCCCGGGGAAATAGTTCTCTGACTGTTTGCTGCTGTGTCCTGGGGTCCCAGTGACCGGATTAGGGCATTTCACTTGCTGACTGTGGCCTCTATGTAACTTTAAAGCATTTAAACAGAACATGCTGGCCTGAGGATGCAGAATTTTATTAATAGCATGTGCATATTCACGAATTGAGAGTTTTGGGTAAACTTCCAACTGTAACAGTGTTCAGAGGTCAAAAAGAGGAGCTGGTTAAGAATGAAAATATTTTAAAGAAAAGACGCTTTTTGTTTCAGTTCACTACACCTTATTTGTCATGTTGATTGTTACCCAATTCTACGTGGAGTGAAGGTGACAAGGGACAGTCCTCACCCTTACATACACTTCTTCCCCAGCTTCTCAGAGATCCTGAAGTTCTGTGCCCTAACTCCTGTGACTCCTTCTGTGCAGAATGAACGTGTGCATTAACACGGATGGATCAGCTACACCATGGCCAGGTCCACACTCAGTATTCAGACTCGGCCCTTGGAGAAGCCCACTTGGTCCCATGTTTTCTGTCTTGGGTTTCACTGAATACAGACACTGAAGTGATTTCTCGGTAGAGATTCTAGGGAGGAAATGGGGAGTTTGCTCCCAGCACTGACGCCCTCCCAGCAGCAATTCTCTCAGGAGTCAACCACTCCCTGGAGCAGCTGAGGCACCTTCTCAGGAATGAAAGTCAAGGAAAAAACAGCCAGCAGCCGCCAATCCTGCGGCTGGGATAGGCAGCAGGGGCTGTTTGTTTGAAGGTGTTTCCTCTGCCTTTTATTTCAAATGTTGACCCAACAAAGAAAGGAAAGATTTTATATTTCTCACATCTTGTTTTAAGTAGCTGAGGATACAACATCAAAGGACACGTTAAGAACACTGTCAGGTTGCAGTAAAGTCCGCAAAAAACACCTCAAAAAAGAAAGAAAGGTATTAGCTGGGGACACAAGAGGAGGGATGGGAGAGCAAACTTTTTTTTTCCTGACTAGAAAGGAAAGAAAAACTGTCTATTGTACACACACGAAAACAGAACCCATGATTTACAGACTATCTAGGTAAAATAAAGCTACACTTTACAGAAATTCTTCCTTCATTTTCTCGAGAAAGTCTGTCTAGATTTCCATCAAAATAAAGTAGAAAGTCACAGTAATAGTAAAGGAAGGAAAAAGATGAAGTGGGGGAGTGTTTGCAAACACATTCTGACATATACACACGGAAACATCCACATATCACACACAGAGTGTCAAAAATGGATAGGCACTTTAAGAGCTATCTTTGTATTACTTTTAACGTTGAATTGAAAGTATCATTACCGGTCAAGTGTATCTAGGTGTGCTATACACATTCATTTTACCTGCAGTTCTTACACTTTTGGGGAATGATCCATTTTACTTCCAACAAGATCTTTTAAAATACATACATACTTTTGGGCCACCCCGGTATATGCAGACACATACATATAGCTTAACCTCTCTTTAGTACAAATTCAAAACGGCATTTTAAAAACTGGCTTTAGATATACAATACAATTTCTAGCGCTTTAAAGAAGGATACGCATAAAGAATTGTACACCTTGAGTCTGTGATTAATTACAGAGCTCAGCTACTTTTTTCAATGA